CAACAAGTAGAAAAGGTCGCCCTGACGCTTATCTTTGCCGCGCGGCGATTGAGACCCTATTTCCAGTGCCATCCAATTACCGTCAGGACCAATCAGCTAATCCGCCAAGTTTTTCATAAGCCAGACCTAGCTGAAAGAATGATGTCCTGGGCGATTGAATTGTCGGAGTACCAAATCGCCTACGAGCAAAGAACCGCCATTAAGGCTCAAGCCCTGGCAGACTTCATCGCCGAAATGACGTAGAGCCCTCTTCCTGAGAGTCAGGCAGCGGGAACACCTTCGTCTGGGATATGGAAATTATATGTCGACGGCTCATCAAACGCCAAACGATCAGGTGCAGGAATGATAGTTGAAAATCCAGAAGGCGTGGCTGTCGAGGATTCCTTGTCCTTTGAATTCAATGCCACAAATAACCAGGCAGAGTATGAGGCTATGATAGCTGGTTTGCTCCAAGCAAAAGAAATGGGAGCCAGGCGTCTCAAAGTTTTCAGTGACTCCCAGTTGGTAACCTTTCAGATCTCCGGTATGTACCAAACTAAAGGACCCTTGATGTGGAGATACATAAAGAAGGTCAAAGAATTGATTGAAAGTTTCGAGGGTGTCGAAGTAGAGCATATCAGGCGTGCTGAAAATACCCGGGCAGATATTCTCGCCAAGTTGGCGAGCACCAAGAGTCCAGGTAACAACTGATCAGTAATCCAACATAACATGCCACGTCCTTGCATCGTCATGAGTATTTAAGAATCGGTCTGCGAAGTCGCTGAAGAAACCTGGACAACGCCCATTGTCAATTACTTGGCTGAAGGGGTCCTGCCTGGTGATCAAAAGGAAGCTCAAAAAATAGTACGGCGAAGCGCGCATTTCTGCCTAGTACATGGACGGTTATACAAGCGTGGGCTCTCAACCCCACTCTTGAAATGTTTGAATCCTAGTGATGTTCAATACGTGATCGAAGAAATCCATGAAGGAATCAACGGCCACCACATGGGCGGTCACTCTCTGGCAAAGAAAGCGGTGAGAGATGGGTTTTACTGGCCAACCATGGAACGAGACGCCCATGAGCACGTCAAGAAGTGCGAAAAGTGCTAGAGGTTCGCGGACATACACAAGGCACCACCTGAAGAGTTGACATCAATCACCTCGCCATGGCCTTTCTACAAATGGGGAATTGACATTCTGGGCCCTTTCCCCACGGCGGCTGGCTAGGTCTAATGGTTGATCGTTGCCATAGACTACTTTACCAAATGGGTAGAGGCTGAGCCCTTACCCACAATTACGTCCCAGAAAGTAAGAAGGTTCTTTTGGAGAAGCATCGTCTACCGATTCGGTATCCCCAGAGAGGTCATTACGGATAATGGTACTCAATTCACTGATGCCAAATTTCGCGAGCTGATGAGCAGTCTACAGATCCGACATCATTTTGCCGCAGTTGAACATCCTCAATCCAACGGTTTGGTGGAGTCGGAAAACAAAATGTTAGGAAAAGGAATCAAAAAGAAATTGGAAGCACACAAGGGAGCGTGGTTAGACAACCTTGACAACGTCCTATGGGGACACAAGACAACCGCCCAGTCTTCGACTAAAGAAACGCCTTTCAGGTTAACCTACGGTACGGAGGCCATGATTCTTGTAGAAATCGGTGAACCCTCCTGGCGGCAGGAACACGTGATCGAGGTCGCCAACACCCAAAATTTGAAAGAAGCATTGGACCTGCTTGACGAGCTAAGAGGATACGCTGCTCAAACCTATCGCCAGACGAAGGAAAGATCATCCACCTACTACAACAAGAAAGTCATTCCTCGAAGTTTTGAAGAAAAAGATCTTGTTCTTAGAAGAGCGGACGTTGGAAACAAGAACTCCCGAGAAGTAAAGCTCGCCCCAAACTGGGAAGGGCCTTATCGAATAGAAAACAAACTGGGCAAATGAGCTTACTCCCTCGAGACACTAGAGGGGAAAACAATCCCAAGGGCGTGGAATGCAGACAAACTCAAGAAGTATTATAGTTAAACTGACATGTAACATTCCCCGCACTCTTTTCCTTTCCTATGTTTTTATCCCAACGGGTTTTTCTGGGAAAGGTTTTTAACGAGGCGGGTATCATATTTTCAATATCACATTTTCAATAAATTGGAACGCCATTTCGCCAATTCTCTGTCAAAGTAACTTGATCAACTAACGGGATGGTTCTCACCCCCGCCACAGTTGGACTGGGATGGTCCTCACTCCCAGTCAACGCTCAACTAACGAGATGGTTCTCAACCCCGCCACAGTTGGACAGGGATGGTCCTCACCCCAGCCAACGCCCAACTAACGGGATGGTTCTCACCCCCCCCCGCAGTTGGACTGGGATGGTCCTCACCCCCAGCCAACGCTCAACTAACAGGATGGTTCTCACCCCCGCCACAGTTGGACTAGGATGGTCCTCAGCCCCAGACAACGCCCAACTAACGGGATGGTTCTCACCCCCGCCACAGTTGGACTGGGATGGTCCTCACCCCCAGCCAACGCCCAACTAACGGGATGGTTCTCACCCCCGCCACAGTTGGATTGGGATGGTCTTCACCCCCAGACAAGGCCCAACTAACGGGATGGTTCTCACCCTCGCCACAGTTGGACTGGGATGGTCCTCACCCCCAGCCAACGCCCAACTAACGAGATGGTTCTCACCCCCGCCACAGTTGGACTGGGATGGTTCTCAGCCCCAGCCAACGCCCAACTAAAGGGGGACTGGGATGGTTCTCACCCCAGCCAACGCCTAACTAAAGTGATGGTTTTCACCCCCATCCAACGCCTAACTAAAGTGAAGAAATATAGATTCGTAAAGTCAAATTGAAAGCAAGGAGGGAAAAGGAAATTCATTAATATTACATATCAGAATAAAGAGTACAAGACTGCGGTCGACATGCCAACCACAGCAAAAAAGTAAGAGGAAAGCTGAAACCTGAGTCTATGTATTAGCCGTGACTGTCTCAACATCTTCAGCTCGATCAGTCACGTCCTTCTCAACCGCCTGGGCATCCATCGCCTGAGCTCGAGCATTCACCTCCTGCTCTGACACAACCGCTCCTTCAACACCGCCTACACTCGCCATACTAGTGTCAATCTGGGTCTCGGCGACAGGCCCGATTGTCATGCCACGCCCAGCATCATCCTTCCCATGATCATCATCACTATCAGTGATAAACCCCTGGTTCATCAGGTTTTCAGCATGAATTAGTATCAATTTGTGTGATTAATTGGATGGAAAAGAGGTTAATGTCCTGGAAATCCCTCAAGTACAAGTTCTGAAAGCTCTGTTGAAAATTTACACTATCTTGTAGGGAAATGAAGCTTAAGGAGCAGCAGAAAGAAAGAAGAAGATTTTGGAGATAAGGAGAATGCCTAAGTTTTGAGCGCTAAAACGTCCACACAGAACGTTTTAGCGCGCTGCTACAAATTGAAGGCAAAACTTGCTGGTGCTGAGCGCTAAAACGTCCAACACAGAACGTTTTAGCGCGCTGCTGCAATCCGAGGGCAAGAAGTTACTGGTCTTGGGCGCTAAAACTTCCTGATCAAATGTTTTAGCGCCCTGCTGTTGGAAAAGACTCTGGTCTCCAACGTTAAAACGTCCAAGACAAGCGTTTTAGCGTTGGAGTTAGTTGAAAGCAGTTGAGCATTCACCAGATATGGACGCTAAAACGTTCAACAGCTCACGTTTTAGCGCCCTAGTTAGTTGAAAGCAGTTGGACATCCGTCAAACATGGACGCTAAAACGGCCATTCATGAACGTTTTAGCGCCCGTGTTAGTTTTCAGTTTTAAATTGTAACATTATATAAGGAAAGGGCCTTCACAATTGTCATAGTTCTGATTTCCTATCTCTCTCTCCTATATCAGATCCTCTGATCTGACTTCTCTCTATAAATTCCAAAATTCATTAGGACTTAGTTCTTGTATTAGTTAGTTTCTCATGTAATTGTACTTAGAGATTGAAGACTCACTACATTGCAATGGAGTTTGATCTTTCTTCTCTTGTTATTATTTGTATTATGTCTGAGTAGAGTCCCTTGTAGTCTGATTCAATGGAAATCAAGTTTGAATTTATGAATGGTTAATTAGATGTTTTGTTTATCTATTATGTGATTGTATGAAGTTGTCTTGATTAATTCTTCATGTTGATAAATAGTGTAGAACAGACATGTTTACATTGTTTCTCTATTTTTGACAACTTCATCATTAGTGTTATAGTAGTCAAGACATTGATGCTAGGATTCTGATGTGGTCTTAAGACCTTAGTGATTAATGCATGTATTAAGAAAGGGATCACCAAGACATTGGGGTTTCTGATTAATGTGTCTATCAGGGTAGTAAGACATTACATCTTGAGATGATAAGAAAAAGGTTGATCAACATCACATAGTAGATATTCATCATGGAAATTGATTCATCCATAAATTCATTCTTGAGAGAAATTGACATCTGACTACTTGCTTTAAATTATATTCACACTTTATCTGTTTATCAATTCTTTAATTTTATTCAAACTAAATTTCTGGTGACAAGAAATAAATGCAATTTATAATCTTTTGGTTGATTCAACTTAACAACATTTGGTTAGTCAGTGCTTGACACAATTCCTCGTGGGAACGATCTTTACTCATCATTTTATTACTTGTTTGACTAGTACACTTGCTAAATCTAACAACAAGTTTTTGGCGCCGTTGCCGGGAAATTTGTTTTTCAACATTGACAGACACCATTAGTTGTAAAGATTGAATCTTTTAATTTCAGTATTTTTTTTGTATGAATTTTTGTTCCATTTTAATTCTGGTGTATGCGACGTACTATTGATAAAAATTCCTTGTTGTTTGACCCAGAATTAGAAAGGACAATTATAAGGAACAGAAGGGCAGCAAGACAAAGAAGACAATTACAAGAAAGGGGTGAACCAAGTGTTACAGTACATGAAGAGATCATGGTAGAAAATCATGTGCAACCACCACAGAGGACACTGGGAGATTACATGACTCCTGCAGTGATTCCTCCAATTCGTAGTGTTGTGCGCCTTACAGTAGAGCCAAATAACTTTGAATTGAAGCCTGCATTGGTACAGTTAGTGCAGAAGGAGCTGTTTTCTGGAACCAGTGCAGAGTACCCTTACTTGCATATAGAAAATTTTCTGTTGTTGAGTGATACTGTGAAAATTAATGGTGTCACAAGGGATGCAATCTTATTGAGACTATTCACTCATTCACTGAAGGATGATGCCAGGAGATGGCTACAGTCATTACCACAAGGGAGCATTACAACTTGGGATGATCTGTAAACCAAGTTCTTGGCCAGATTCTTTTCAACATCCAAGAAGGCAAAGTTGAAGGATGAGATCACAGGATTCAAGCAAAAGGATTCAGAGTCTATCTATGAGGCCTGGGAGAGGTTTAAGACACTCTTGAGGAAATGTCCACAACATGGAATAGAAGTGTGGAATCAAGCAGCAATATTCCTCCAAGGGTTGACAACCAACACCAGGACATTGGTGAATGCCACAACAGGTGGTTCATTGACAACCAAGACTCCTCAGGAAGCCCTTCACATCTTTGAGTCTCTAGCATCTCAGGAGTTTGACAATGCTCCGGTGAGTGACAGAAGGATATGAATTATTAAACTTGATGGCTATGATGCTTTATTAGCCAGGAATGACCAGTTGCAGCAAGTTCAGAAACAACAACAACAACAACTAGATACTCTCACCAAGACTTCTCAGAAGGTTGCTTCTGTGGACACTAATTCTGTGTGTGCCATTTGTGGGAAAAGCCATGTTACTGATGATTGTGACTATGGAGAGTCTGTTGAACATGCAGAAGTAAATGGAGTGTGTTATGACCACAACAACCAGAGGAATTACAACAACCAGGGGCGAAATGTCTATGTGCCACCATGGAAGAACAAGAATCAACACCCAGGGTTCAGTTACAGTTCCAACCATCAGTTGAATCCTCCACTACATCCTCCACCACCAAATTCATCATAGCAAGGTGATACTTCTGCATGGGAAAAAGCTTTTGCCCAGTTATCCAAGACTACTCAAGATTACATTCAGGGGTCTAATTCATTCAGAGAGGAAACATCTGCATTCATGCAAGAGACTAAGACTTCATTCAGAAATCAGGAAGCATCTATCAGGAACCTGGAGACCCAGATTGGTCAGCTATCAAGACAGATATCTGAGAGACCACAGGGGAAGTTCCCTGGTGATACTATAGTGAATCCAAAGGAGCACTGCAAGTCTATTATTACAAGAAGTGGGCTTGTGCTCCAACCAGTGAACAAGAAAGTGGATGAGAAGAAAGCGGGAGAAAAGAAAAATGAGGAGGAATTTGTAGTTGAAAATGATAGAGAAGAAAAAGTTGAGGAAAAGAAAAAAGAAGAAGAGGTAGTAGTTGACAAGAGTTCTTCACCCCAGAAGTTGATGAATTGGGAGAAGAAAAAGATGGCTGACAAGCAGGACCAACCAATCAACCTATCTCCATATGCTAAAGTGCCTTATCCTCAACGGTTGAAGCAGGAAATCCAGAAGCAGCACTATGCAAGGTTTCTGGATATTTTTAAGAAGTTACAGATTAACATTCCATTTGCTGAGGCCTTGGAGAACATGCCTAACTATACCAAATTCATGAAGGATCTTCTGTCTAAGAAGAGAAAATTGAAGGATGGTGGGACAGTGGCCTTAACAGAAGAGTGTAGTGCCCTGATCAAGAAGAAGCTTCCACAAAAATTGAAAGATCCAGAAAGTTTCAGCATCCCTATTGCCATTGGAGATGTGGAAGTAGGGAAAGAACTCGTGATTTAGGGGCTAACATTAACTTGATGCCATTGACTGTATGTAGAGCCTTGGGAATCAACACCCTGAAGGATACTAATCTTATATTGCACCTTGCTGATAGATCCATTAAAAGACCAGAAGGTGTGGTTGAAGATGTTTTGGTCAAGGTAGACAAGTTTATTTTTCCAGTGGATTTGGTTATCTTGGATATGGAAGAGGAAGATACTGAAAGCCCTCTACTATTAGGGAGGCCATTCTTAGCAACTGCTAGATCCTTGATTGATGTGAAACAGGGAAAGCTAATGCTAAGGGTGAATGAAGAGACAGTTACAATTGATGTGTTTGAAGCCATTAAACATCCTGTTGATGTGGAGGATTGTTTCAGGATAGATATCATACAGGAAGTTGTGGAGGAAGTAAAAGGAGAAGAGGACTTGTTGTTAGAGGAAGACAAACGTAAGGAAGAAATGAGTGGGGAATTTTATCAGGAGGAACCAGTAGTTGAAGAGCTTGAAAAGAAGGTGGATGACATTCCTAAGGGAGCACCTAAGGTGGAACTGAAAGAACTACCTTCTAATTTGAAGTATGTGTTCTATGGGGATGATCAAACATACCCAGCCATTATCAATGTATTTTTGTCTGAAAGAGAGGAAGTGAAGTTGGTTGAGGTACTCAAGAAGAACAAGACAGCCATGGGCTGGTCATTTTCAGATCTTAAGGGTATCAACCCTTCCTTCTGCACTCATAAGATATTGATGGAGGAAGAAGTCAAACCAGTGAGGCAACCACAAAGAAGACTTAATCCCACTCTGAAGGAGGTAGTAAGAAAGGAGGTGGTGAAGTTGCTTGATGCTGGGGTGATTTATTCTATTTCAGATAGTGCATGGGTGAGTCCAGTTCAGACAGTGCCCAAGAAAGGAGGGATGACTGTGGTTAGGAATGAGAACAATGAACTGATTCCTACAAGAACAGTCACTGGCTGGAGGATGTGTGTTGACTACAGGAGACTCAATAAAGCAACCAGGAAAGACCATTTCCCTATTCCATTCCTGGACCAGATGCTGGAAAGATTGGCAGGACATGCTTTCTACTGTTTTCTGGATGGATACTCGGGCTATAACCAGATAGTTGTGGCTCCGGAAGATCAGGAGAAGACTGCATTCACTTGCCCCTATGGAATTTTTGCATACCGGAGGATGCCTTTTGGCCTATGCAATGCACCAGCAACTTTTCAAAGGTGCATGCTTTCCATATTCTCTGACATGGTAGAAAGGTGCATTGAGATTTTCATGGATGATTTTTCTGTGTTTGGTCCTACTTTTGATGCATGTTTAGAAAACTTGGACAATGTTTTGAAAAGATGCCAAGATTGCAATCTTGTGCTAAATTGGGAGACATGTCACTTCATGGTGACAGAGGGGATTATTCTGGGACACAGTGTCCAAAAGAGGAATTGAAGTAGATAAGGCCAAGATCTCTGTTATTGAGAAATTACCCCCTCCCATAAATGTAAAAGGTGTGAGGAGTTTTCTAGGACATGCTGGATTTTACCGTCGTTTTATTAAAGACTTTTCAAAAATTGCAAAACCATTGTGCAAGCTGTTAGGGAAAGATCAAGAATTTCTATTTACTGATGACTGCTTGCATGCATTTAATGTGTTGAAAGACAAGTTGATTACTGCACCTATAATCATGGCACCTAATTTTTAATTACCTTTTGAACTTATGTGTGATGCCAGTGATTTTGCTGTGGGGGTAGTGTTAGGCCAAAGGAAGGACAAACTATTGCATGTCATTTACTATGCTAGTAAAATTCTTAATGAGGCACAAAAGAATTATGCTACTACAGGAAAAGAGTTATTGGCAATAGTTTATGCATTTGACAAAATTAAGGTCATATCTGCTAAGGTCCAAGGTTATTGTTTACACTGACCATGCAGCTTTGAAGTGTTTGTTAACTAAGCAGGATGCTAAGCCCAGGTTACTCCGATGGATGTTACTTCTGCAAGAATTTGAAGTAGAGATCAAAGACAAAAAGGGAGTGGAGAACTTGGTGGCTGATCACTTGTCCAGGATCACAGAGACACATCTACAAGAAGGACCAGAAGTGGTGATCAAAGAGGAGTTTCCTGATGAGTAAATACTGGCCATAAGCACTGTTTCTAAGTTGGTGCATGAACAAGTCTTGTCTGTTGACACCCCATCATGGTTTGCTGATTTTGCTAACTACAAAGCTGCTGGAGCCATGCCAAAGGATTTCACTTACCAACAAAGGAAGAAGTTTCTGCATGACGTGAGGAGATACATCTGGGATGAACCATACCTCTTCTATAGATGTTCAGATGGAGTAATCAGAAGATGCATTCCAGAAGAGGAGCAACAGAGTGTATTATGGCACTGTCATGGTTCAGCCTATGGTGGCCATTTTACAGGTGAGAGAACAGCAGCCAAGGTTTTGATGAGTGGTTTTTACTGGCCCACATTGTATAAGGATGCCAGAAAGTATGTGGAAGCATGTGACAACTGCCAGAGAACTGGGAACATCTCCAGGAGACATGAGATGCCTTTGAATAATATCCTGGAGGTGGAGATCTTTGATGTCTGGGGTATGGATTTCATGGGACCTTTCCCCTCTTCCTACTCTAACAAGTATATCCTGGTGGCAGTTGATTATGTGTCCAAGTGGGTTGAAGCCATAGCCACACAGACCAATGATGCTAGATTTGTGATAGCATTTCTGAAGAAGAACATATTTGTGAGATTTGGAGTTCCAAGAGCCATAATAAGTGATGGGGGACCCATTTTGATAACATGTTTGTTGAATCTGTTCTTGCCAAGTATGGAGTAAGGCACAAAATAAGTACTCCGTACCACCCACATACTTGTGGTCAGGTTGAGATTTCCAACAGGGAACTTAAAAGAATTCTGGAGAAGATTGTTGAGAATGCTAGGACTTAATGGTCCAAGAAACTTGATGACACTTTGTGGGCATATAGGACAGCATTCAAGACTCCTATTGTTATGTCTCCATTTCAGTTGTTGTTTGGGAAAACATGTCATTTTCCTGTGGGGTTGGAGCATAGAGCATTATGGGCTGTCAAGTTCTTGAACTTTGATTCTAAAGCAGCAGGAGAGAAAAGACTACTGCAATTGGATGACTAGATGAGTTTCGTCTGTCTGCATATGAGAGTGCCAGCCTATATAAGGAGAAAACCAAGCTATGGCATGACAGGAAGATCACACCCTGGGATTTCAAGGTGGGA